TAGGAGAGAACGGTAACAGAGAGTGGTTGGTATGGAAGGGAAGAAACACTAAAGTCTAGGACAATTGGTGTACATTGTGCAAATGAAGTATGCATTGTATGGCTCTCAGATTTTAACACGAAATTCTGTAATTCGATATTCATTAACATTTGGTTGTCCCCATCTGTGTTCTCGATTACTACTGTAGAACTTCCCAACTCAAGTTCGATTTTGTCTCGGGGTTCACATCTGACATGAACTACTCTTACTTGGTGCACTACTTTGACGATTTCATAAAATGAACGTGTTATAAATAAAAATATATTGGTAGGACTTGATAAATGTACATTACACCAACCAGTCATCCTTTACCTTGGCGATGTTTAATAGATCGTCTGCAGGTCAGTAACCTGTAAAAAAGTCCAACTTCATGGGTGGTTTGTTTAAGGCTCAGTAACCTTTCACCTGTCTTATGTGTGTGAACGTGCTACCATACACTAAATGAGCGTGATTGATTAAAAATTTAAAAATAGCATCCGAATTCATATCATAACAGAAGCTATCTGCAAACCGTTTGAAGATGAAACTGTAGACTGTTTGATGACGACTTAGTGGATTAAAAATTCTATCATAGCGTAAAGAAATTAATTCACGACATTGAATTTCATACGCGTTTATAAGTTTGAACGTTATCAGAGATAAAGCTGTCATTTCAAAACTTTCCAGCTATCAGCCGTTCGATAACTTAATTCAGTTTTTCACTGGAAAATATCTCAAAACTTTACTGATATTTTAACAATCACTAAAATGTTAATTCTTTCACTCAACAGCAAGTTTATGTTGGTAGAAATGTGAATGACGTAACGCTTTAGCATAATATGTAACTACTTTGTTATTTGGAGATATGAAAACACATCAGTATCGAGGTGGGATTAGAAACCAAACAAATACATGATCCTCCCATTACAAAAGCCGACCCAGTGATATCGTTGTTGATCTACGTTAAAATCTACTCAATTATTTTCCTCTTTATATTGTTCAGTGTAGCATTGTATACACTTTAGTCATTTATTTTACCTCAATAACCAGAGAGGAGAGTTAACTAGAATTTAACATTACGAGAAACCATTCAGCCACCCTGTTTGTCAGGACGTCCTTGACGCTTTCAGATTTAGCTTATGATTCCTATTATCAAACTACACATTGTTTGTTTTATCTCAGATTGAATTGATCAACGATTCTAGTCGCGTTTCTTAGTCAAGGTCTATGTTCAAAGGGGGGAAGTTTCAGTTTGTTATATGGTTAATTAAATTGTACTTCAGTATCCCTGGTTCTGATAAGGGAGGTAAACTAATATATCATGTTATGACTATGTTAATTATAAAGTTGGAGGCATAGATGATCATCTCTGTGATAGATGTGATGTGGGTAGTGAGTTAAACTCGATATTAAATATAGGTGGATTACAATTAAAATATCTCAGTCATGTTCTCAAATGTGATTCGTCTAATGACCTCAGCTTCATCAGGGATTCTATTTTTCGAACTCGGATGATCTAACAAAATATAGTTCATGTACACTGCAACATTGGAAGCCGAATAAAATATCAGTGGCATCAGATTTAGCGACTTTATGTCGTCAGTCAACGATTAAAATGAAGTAGGACGAGTATAGAGGTAGATGTTTGATAGAACTTTACCACTGGTAGTTACCCTCAGTACTAAGCGTAAGAGATGCCAGACTGGTAGTTGCAGTATGTTTTTATTCGGGTAGTGAAACAGACCATTTGCAGTGCGAGGTTCTTATTTCAACCACGCAAAAATTTTGCCCTTCAATATAGGATAACGGGAAATGTAATGCCTACCCAAAATAAGAGCAAATAACTGCTTAACTGTAATTCTTTGATATTATCAAGATGTCTTCGATCAACTCTTAACCACCCATCTCCAGTTGTTACCGGCCGTCCTTGATTGTCAAAATATTGCTTGGGTTTAAATAGTACATGTAAAACCAAATTAATGTCTACTTCCTTGCACTTGTATTGCTCACTAAACACCACAGCAACGTTATTGAATTTCTAAAACCCATACTCGCAAACGAGGGAATACATCCGATATTAATTAAAACAGGAAGTGATTCAGTGAGATAAAATCCATAAAGTATGAATGACGCCACAATAACTATCCCTTTCCAATTTTCTATGACACGTTAAGGGCTATGTGCCTTCATTTCAAAACAGTTCATTTGTATAACTAGCCTTTTCTTCAGCCTGTACTCTAAAGATCAGCGAATCCTTCGTTATACAGGACTGTGTAGTTGTGAAAAGATCTCAGATGTTGTGTTGGCCAGTTGCCTAAGACTGATCCATACATATGGGTTAAAAGTTGCTAGCCTAAGTAGCTACTCAAATAGGAGAAACATTTGTATGATTGAAGCCGTTCTCGATTTTAAGATGACACACGTATCCAGAGTTTGCCACCTAGTTGAACTAGCGTCCACCGTCTGTAGTGATAGTTGAAGGGTGACGCGATTTCGCTGCCGATCGTTCAACGAAGGAGAGGTTCACTGTTTCAACGGTAATGTCCTCGATGTACAGTGCTTCTGGCCATCAAGTGACACGGTATAAACACGATATGACGTAAGAGTACTCATTTGAGTCGGCAACGGTTCTATCAAATCAAAGTGAACATGGTCGGAACAGGCGTCGAGTTTGGAAGTGACCAAAAGAACATTTGTCGTATACAATCATCCTAGATTTTTGGTAGCTTACACAGCAGTATGCTCACTACTTCATATGTTTATTAATATCAGGCCAACAAAATCGTTATTCTATGGACCGGATGGTTGCTCGAACACCTGAATGATAAAGTCTGTTCAACGTATTGGAGACGTCGAGCCGATAATGTTTCGGCACTGTTGGAAGATGCATACCTGTAGATATATCACACGGTAAATTTTTCTTATCTGTTCCCATCTGTTTGATCCTTCGGTGGAATTCGTTCTTAGTCAACCCCAGCTTATCGGGAGCCAGGTAATGAGCTTTCGAGAATACAGATCTTTCTGTGTGCCATGATATAATGTGTGAAATTGCTGGTTACATACGACAATTTTATTTGCGTTAAGTACAGGTTGGAGTACCTATCGATAAACTAGTTTTAATTTTACCCTTTCTGCGACTGGAAATAGTCTAGAACCGAAAAAGGGAAATATGCGAACGCATAACTCAGTATTTTTATCTAATGACCTCTTTTTGTGCGTGTCGATATGTAGATTATATTGTTGTAGCACGTCTATAGCAATTGGCATACAGACATCTGCAACAACAAAAATCCAGTGAGTGATTTGGCATAAACTCACACTAAAATAAATATATCGCTTACTAAATGTGGTAATTTATTTCTCATTTGCCGCCTGTAAGTTGAAGGCCGGTCCGTGAAGTCAGTTGTTAGCTATATTCTCTGGCAACGGCTGATGCTAACGCGTGACAGTGGAAAATTTTCCTGATGAATTTTCCGTGTAAGACTTTTCTGAGATTAGAGAACAGTATAATAATAATAATCGTAGAGCTTTCCGCAATTTCTAGGGGACTTATCATACCTATCACGATATCAGCACCAAACAGGACAGTCTACCTCTCGTCATTCACAAACAGATCTTTCTCGTGAAGAACTCTTTTGAGGAGTTAGGGAGGGTTTATGATTACGATAAATATTGAGATAACGAGTCAGAATATAAGTGGGGTCCGTGTGGTCAATTTGTGTTTTTTGAGGCCTCTCTTTAACTCGAAAGCCCGCATCAAGGTCCGTTAACCAATGAACTCTTGCATACGTAGGCATATTTCTGTTGCCGAGCCATAATTCAAATCGATGTTGTTGAAACGTTGGCATAACCTCCATCGTTCGGTTAAATTCCGATGTTCAAGAACAGTCTTCTTCAGTGCGTCGTAAGGCTCCGAAACATCACCAGTAAATATACTTTGTATGACACACCTGTTAAAATTGCGCGGTAGCGTCTTCACTAATGAGAAGAATTGCGAATGCTGGTCTATCACACCGTGCTCATTTAATTCAGCTTCGATATAGCAGAACTCGCTTTCTATATTGTCCGGCCAGACTGGTATGAGTTGAAATGTGGAAGGCGAAAGAGTCTTAATCTTAAATAGCTTAGGTGTCTATATCCGTCATGATGAAAATAAAATAAATCAATGGGTGGGGAAAAAATTTGAAAATATGGAAACAATACCACAAATATAAAAATTTCATGTAATATGCCACCATGAAACAGACTCAAAGCTTACTGCTTGGTGTACCAGATCACATCGGTCCAGCCACTAAGGATGTCACGAGTTTTCGTGGTTTGAAAACACCTCTACACCTAAGACCTTTGTACTCGGAGTATGCCAACACAGCCAAATCATAAATGAAGTGGTTCGAAGATTTATTTGCAAGGCTATCAACATATCGAGAAGGGCTTTGTCTGAGCCGGCTAGTAGTTGAAAAGCATGCGTAGCAAGGCGTACACACTGGTGATCTGGTGCGTATGCACGATCGAGCGCCTTCAAATAGGTGTTCAGTAAAACTATCAAGATCAACATCACTGTCAGGGACTTATAGAACTATCTATTTTGGGTATTTTTTTACTCTGACATGCTAAGCTGAATGGAATTATATGCTCAATTTCGTCTGCAAATACATACCTGTCCACCTCAGAGAATCAAGCCAGTTTTTCGAAAAGCAGAGTATACCTATCCCCTTAAAAGTCTGTTCTCTTTCTGTTATCAATAGCCTTATTGATATAACCCCGATTCTCAGAGTATGGAACCCATATTTAGTTACTCGACTTTGAACAGTCTTTATTGCAGTGTCCTTGTATTTTTTTAAAAGTTTATCCGTGGATTTTAGCTTACTTCTACATCTCTAATACATTGGCAGCAAAAATAAAGTAGAATTTCCATAGCTAAATCTTTTTGACGTATTTTGAAAATTGAAATGTTGAGGGTCAAATGTACTTATTTGTTGTCTCTCAAGGCAGTTAGGTAGTCTGGGCAGATTGAAAAAAGGTGTGGGTTGAGATCCAAACTGAGGTATTTGTATTCATAGCAGAAGTTCTCGGAACATTTGGACAGTTTTAGTCGAGTCATTTATCAAGAGTGTACTTAATTTGTTCTTCATTATTAGCCTGACATCTGCATTCAGATGTCAGTTTGAGTTTCAGTTCAGTGTTAAAGTAACCATAAAGGCAATTGGCCTGTCACTAGTGATAAGCAAAATTGATATTTAAGCTCATCCATTTAGGTTAGTATGTTATTTGAAATGTTTCGATGTAGACATATATATGTTTAGCCAAGTAGTTCATTAGCATATTGAAGTTCACTATTAAAATGCCTATTAAGATGTTTTTGGATTGTGAAACAAAATACCTAAGGTTGCTTGGGGGTATGCTCTAAAGTAGCCCAACTCTCTACTGGACAGCACTATACGCAACATCTCTTTGATCTGGTTCCTCTGTTAAAATCAGTAGGATACGTAAAGATCAAAATCAAACCGAAATATACTTAGTCTCGTAATTTCTTTCTAAAGTAACACGTGCGACGTGTATACTTTTGATACACCAAACAGAAAGATGCTATAGTGAAAAATCACTTGAGATACTGATGAGTCGTCTTAAACCCATTATCTGTAACGTTATTTTTCTTCGTCTTTCCCCTACTTATTGTCTGTCACATAATATTTATTACGTCATTTATGTATTGTCTAAATGTTCTAGACTGTCCTCTAAAGGTTGGGAATTTTCCGGGTTTCTCAAATCTTTCTCCAGGATATCGCTAAAATACTCACGTATGTCTACTCAAGTATGGGCTAGTCCGAAGATCGAGCGTCGATGCAAAGCTGAAGCTCAGATCAGGTCACTAAACAACGCTTACAAATGGCTTTCAGTCGATTTGCTGGTGGGAATGTGTGTACTTATAGAATTGTAAGTTGACTGTGTTGGTATATAACGCTCACTAGTTATGTTCAACCAATTTTCCGTCTGTTCTCGTTCCCTTTGGGATGGATGTCTTCTTATGAAAAGTTAAGTATGTTTTTATTCATATTTTATTGATCTGCAGTATTATCATCTTTTACTCTCCTCATTGCCTGCATTTCATACCATGTATTCGTGATAATAAGTTCAGCGTTAATCCGAAGAATGGACGCAGGTAATTCTCACAGTAAGTCTCGTTTTACTACTAATACTCGAAGGTCAGTCAGCTTTGAGGTTTCACTCATCACCTCTAAACAAATCACTCGTTGGTCCTTCTATGTTCTGCTCCAGTTTATTGAAGGACAGCTTAGACATCAGTTCTTGTGGAGCTACCTTTGGAAACTCATCATATGAAATCACCAGTGGATCTCCTGTTAGATCAGCAGTTCCCTATGTAGATGTTGGTATTTCACAGTCTGTAAATGAGAACCAACCTATTTGGAAACAATCACCAATTGGTACAGTGTCACCACAGCATAATCAGTCACATAGTAATTTATCACAGCCACACTGTGGATCTTTTCGGGTTTCGGGAAGTCCGGGTGTTCAAGAAAATCGTAAGTGTTTATTTTTAATAGTGCATCTATTATCTACCATTTAGCTGTTTGCTTTGATAATGAAAATTGTATTTGCACACTGGATTAGCATGCACCTCTTTCTGTATCTGACTAAGCTGTCATTAACATGTCCTAGTTTTACAATACAATGAAAGACCAGAAGTTTTTAGTATTAGAAGCATCGTCATTTTGTTCATTTACAGTTTAACGCTTATCACACTGGGATTTTCGTATTTCGATTTACCACAGTGATAATGTAAAGTTACTGGTCTTTAGTACCAAACTACCACTGGCAGCTTTCTGTGAAACTCATTATATATACTTCTATGGATCCTAAAGAAAGTTATTCTTATTCCAATAATTATTGTGAATCACTGGGTATTTTGAAAAATAATATATTCGAAAGATTAATAGTGTATAACCTAACTACATCTGTACGTGACCTCAATGGGTTTAGGGAATAAGAATTAGTGAATGTCACGTTCATTGTAACAGCGGTAAAGTAGTGTTTTAATCTCTTCTTACGGTTATGACCCAGCTATTCCTATTGCTTAGTATTCTCGGACACCGATTCACTCGACAAGTCCCCAAATCAAAACACGGTTGAACAAGAAAGAGATCATATTCCAAATAACAAGGTTAGATGGAAGTAAGATGCCAGTAAGAAGCACAATAGGGAAAAACGTCAGTATATTTATAGTTTTTACACGAGAAGATTCTAGAGTATTCTCCAACTATCGTCTAGTGCTGATTGACTAATTCTTATCCAATCAGCGTGCACCAAAACGATCGTGCATTGAGCACGCTTTAATCCAGTCTATGTCCCACTAACACCTCCCCTTTGAGCAGATTCGTAGGGACTGGTGCTAGGGTCCAACTGCAACTGAGTGACTGGCTTGTGCTTTCGATCAGTCCATCGTATAGGCAATGAAGAATTATCACTTTTTTCTTGCACAGAGACTGACACGTCTGTTCCCGGCGTTTTGATTTTTCTTATCCAATCAGCGTGCACCAAAACGATCGTGCATTGAGCACGCTTTAATCCAGTCTATGTCCCACTAACAAGTAGTGGCCAGAAAGATTGGGTCTAAGGTGACTATCCTCCTTTATTTGCATTCACTATCCGTTATAGTAGTTTATCCTATTAGTTTGTATCGAATATTTAATATACAAGCTAGAAAAAGGAAAATCTTTACTACTTTTTATATCTCCAATTTTCGCCTCCATTATTATTGTCCCTTTTTTCCGCCATCGCAAAATGCTCAATTGGTTTTCGTCAATTACACTTTTCTTAATCTCATTTGAAGACTCATGCAATCGTATGATAAACAAATACCTACATCAAAGCTATCTCTGAGTGTGATAATATCAACACGCTATTGTGTAGTCTTACCGCCTATTTTATCCAATTTAATAACTAAAAAGTACTTTTTAAAAAAATTTCCTTTGTATATCAGTTTCTCTTTTGGATTTGGCCCTCAGTCCAATTGTGAATTCTGGACTTGGCTCTGTGCTACCACCTTTTGGTAACGGAGAGGCTCCTGGACAGAGTTCAGGGAACATGCGTCGTTCTGTCACTTGGTCTTCTCCATTTTTAACATCAGGGACATCCCCACGATACCAATATCAGGCTGCTTATATTCAACCTACTAATCCTTGCCAGCAATACTTGAATGATTCACAAAAATCTTTATCTGGACCAGCCTTTATTCCAAACAGTATAACTCCCGATTCTGGGAAAAGTGATCGTGAAATTAACGAACGATCTGAAGATGAGGTAAGCGTTTCTATTGAGTGAATACGTGAGGAAGTAATGTGTTGAGATTATTGTAAGGAAGGTGGAGCTAAGCATCTGGAATAATCGACTTTCATCGAATAGTTCTCAGGTTCGAACTTCACTCAGCCTTCGACTTAATGGAACAGGGAGCATCAGTCTCCGTATCGATATTGTACAACTCTGTGCTAATTGCACAAAACCTATACTTGTTAAATGAGTTATATTATTTGTGTTATGTCATTAACAACAATCTTTAAGACCTACACTTTTTATATTCACCACGTAAAAGTAGCTTAAAATTAATCTGTCTCGAGACTTGAGCTCGTAACCTAGTATTATAAACTCTAAATTACTACCATATTATCATTGTAATATACTATACTCCTGTCATTCCTTTAAAATGTTATTTACTGAAACTATTCTGTGAAATATTCTTTTTAAAAAGTGAGCTCTAGATTTGTTATTTGCAATATTTCACTACTCTAACATTTTCTCTGTTTACAGTATTGGATTGAAAATCAGGTTAGCAAAAGCGATTTAGATCGTTGGACTCTAAATCTTCGAAAGGTATGTGATCACTCAGATTCTAGAGATTTATTTTGTGAATAATAATTTCTAAACATAGCTGAATATTCAATTAATATTACGGTCATACGTTTTTGTGTGCACATAGAGGGATATGCGGCCGAGGGTGGGAAAAGTCAGCTCTCACATGGCCACGCACATGCAGTCACTGTCAGAGAACTCCTACTCACTGCCTTCTCGCGGTGGATGTGTTGTTTACGAAATTGAGAGGATGAAAAGCGAATGTCCGGTACTGTAATCGGGTTGGTGGAGATGGAGGATCCATCTACGGGAGTTGGAAAACTCCGACTCCAGACCAATAGTGCACATGGGCTACAGGATCATGAGGGGACAAAAGTCGTTAGTCACTGGATACAATGGGACTGCATCTCCCAACGTTGTGACTTGTGTGACTCATCTGTATTTGGTGCCTCCTTGTACTAATATTTATATATTTAAATAAATAAGAGGCATAACTTAAGTGATGTATTTTATCATTTTTAAAATTTATTAGGCAGAACATTTCTTCATTTAATAAAATCCCTTTTTTTATTATTTCAGTGGCTTCATGGTACAATCATTCGACGTATTGTCAATGAAATTGACACAATTAATCGAAATCTTGAAGAAGCTGGTGGCGATAAAACTCTTATTGGATGCAAGTTTTTATATCCAGTTTTTTATCTTTAATGTATGCTTTCACGAATGGTTGCAAGATTAGTGTCCGCTACCTCTTCAGTTGTATATTATTATTATCCTTTAGTTCACATCATTACTCCATAAATTTGTTGAGATTAGTTCTGCTTAATATTTGTTGGAGAACCTTCAGAAATTAGTGAGCACGTGGAAAACTATTATTTATTGAAACACATAAACATTGGCAGAAGAAGGGATCAAATAGATATGCGCCACATAAACCATTGGATTTGTGTGATGGCTGGGATACTGCCTGGGTGCTCAAAACGAAGTAGGTGGTTTTTTAGGGGGCCATACCCAAAGCCTTTGACCTAAAGGTCTGATCCACAAAGCAGTGGAGTAACCTCAGGAGATGTAATTCCATGGTAGCCGGTGACCAACAATAGGTTCATACGCCATTTGTTCTCTCAGGATCTTATAGCCTATGTGCACCATTGGTTTGGAATCAGAGTTTTCCAACTCCCCCAGAATGGATCCTCCATATCCACCAACCTGGTTAATGCGTCGAACATTCTATTTTCGTCCTGTCAATTTTGTAAACAACTAATGCTGCGAGAAGGTAGCGAGAGCATTTCGAGAAGGAGAGCTGACTCTCTTCACTCTCGGCCGTATCAGGGCTTTCGAATAATCCAAAAGACATACCTTATTCTCAAGGTTTATTAGTAGACAAAAAAGACGAATGAATTTAGCAGGAATATTGTAAGTTTGAATAAATTCACAATCGTCTTCTATTCAAGTCAAATTGTCAAATCAACATATCAAAAGAGAAGTGACTTGTGTTAGGGATAAATCATCGTAATTGACAATGAAAAAATATGGATTGATCTGTATAAGGAACTATGACACTGAAGAATCGATTCAATTTTTACAAAGAACTAATAGAATATAAAGTAATTGAATGATTTCCAAAAATTAAAACCAGATATAACATTGTTCTATTATAGTCAATAGATGAATGGGGTTCGAACTTGTTGCATAAAAGTTCTAGAAAACACTTCATTCTTTTTCAAATAATAAAATTTTAACAGTTTCAGCTTATCCATCTTATTTACATCTTGTCTCTCCTCTGTCTCACTCTCCTCTTTTTTCTTTCTTTTCAATTCTAGCCACTAGTTTAGCTACCCTTCAACAATTCTCCTCTCTTAAATATCAATACTTACCAACACTTCCAGTATTGTTAGCATTTTTAGATTTTATGAAAGATCAAGGATATTTGGTTAATCGATTACATGGTGAGTTTTTCATGTCTATACAGTTTAAATTGGCTTTATAATGTGTTTTATATTAAATCTGGGTCTGAGTGACTTTTTGGTTGTCTTTATTTAAATTATTACTGATCAACTGTCATATTATTACTATTTGATCATTTGAACACATAAATATTGGTACAAAAGGGAACCGAATACATTTGCGCCATACAGGTCACTTGATTTGTATGTGGGCTGTGATACTGCCTGGGTAGCCAAAACGAAGCTGGTGGTCTTCATCGGAGGCTATACTCGGAGCCTTTAACCTAAAGGTTTGATCCACAAGGCAGTGGAGCAACGTCAAGAGATGCATTCCCATGGTAATCGGTGACTAACAATAGGTTTCTACACCATTTGTTCCTTCGAGATTCTGGAGCCTGTGTGCACCAATTGTTTGAAATCAGGGTTTTTCAACTGCCATAGGTTGATCCTCCATCTCCACCAACCTGGTTAGAGAGCCGGACATTCGCTTTTCGTCCTTTCAATTTCGTAAACAACATTAATACTTCTAGAAAGCAGTGAGTAGGAGTTCTCTGAAAGTGGCTGTATATGCGTGGTCATCTGAGAGCATTTCGGGAGCATCTCGGCCGTACCAGGGCATTCGGGGGAATTCTGTTCAGATAAATCTAACTGACTCCTCAACATTTGTAAAGATAAAGGACTCATGATGATGCAATGCCAAATACTTGAATATTTATTAAGTAGTTTTTGGATCCAAGTTTCAGGTCTCCAAATTCATCTTTACGTACACAGTTCAGAAATTTCAAAATCATGACTATTAAATGTTCTTTTTTATTTGATTATGGTTGAATTTTTAGGGAATGTTTTATTTTCCGTTAATAATGTCACACTACTGTTTAATTTATGACTGCAGTGATCTTTAGTGCTGCTAGAGGCATGGCTTATAATCGATCGCAATGGTGTAGGTGTATATACTTTTTGTCTTCCCTTAAACCGTGAGATTAAAATCGCTTTACATCTTTCTTCTTACGAACTAATGCTTTCTTCCTGTATTATATCCTTATACATAATCCTTCTTTTATATACTACTACGATTGAAGTAATTACTTATATGAATTTGGTGTCCATCTTGTGCTAATGAGGTATGGCAACTTGGATCGATGTATATATATGCCTGGTTCTACGTTGTAGTTGACTGACTTAGTGTTTGGATTATACTCTAATGTCATGAATAAACTATGAACAAAACGTTATTTGATTTAACTGAACTAGATTTTACCTTTTTTATCTAAATATAATATATTTAACGCCCCCAAATGCCCTGTTATGGCCGCGAGTGGGGTGGGTCTACCTTCCCTCTCGAAATGCTCTCACACGGCCACGCGTATACAGCCTCTGCCAGGGAAGTCTTACTCACTGCCTTCTCGTGGCGGAGGTGTTGCTTACGAAATTGAGAGGACGAAAAGCGAATGTCCGGCGCTTTAACCGTATTCCAAACCAATGGTGCACATGGGCTCCAGTATCCTGCGGGGACAAACGGCGTATGAACTAATCGTTGGTCACTGGTTACCATGGGACTGTATCTCCTCAAGATTCTCCACTGCCTTGTGGATCAGACCTTTAGGTCAAAGGCTTCGGGTGTGGGGCCCCCTAAGAAAATCACCTGCTTCGGTCTGAGCACCCTAGAAGTATCCCAGGCCTTACACGAATCAAATGATTTGTGTGGCGCATATCTATTTGGTGTCTCCTTCTGCCAATGTTTATGTGTTTAAATAAATAAATATTCAACGGGTTTACAAACACAGATAGTATTGTATATTGTTGGGAGGGGTGGGTAGCACTACATTAATATATAAATGGGAAGATGATAGAGTTGTGCACTTGGTTACTACTTGTATTTCTGCAAAAATCTTGGAAGCAAGATTCCTCATCCTTTAAACACCTTGAATGATAGTACAAAACTATTAAAAATGGCTATTTACACCTTATAAATATAAAATATAGATTCAAGATTAATATACAACATCGTTTTATCTGCCTGTAGGAAATTTATAACTAGTTAATCACATTAAAAACACTTGTCTTGACTTCAAATTTATTGTTATGAGGGTTAGTCGTTCCAACTGGTTGCTCAACTGAAAGAATTCAGTATTAAAATTTTTAAAGTATCTATTAATTAATGATTAGCTTAGTTTGTGAAACAACTTCTGTATCAGCTAGTACCACGGTGATATGTGCTACCGATATCGAGAGATTTAAGCAGTATGTATCATCAGACGGAAGTGAAATACTTTGCAGCAGAAGGTTAAGAAGATCGAAGAGAAGAGAGTGAGAACATTGAATAATTGTTGTGTAAATGAAAGAACAATGAAGTCTGAGACGATTGAAGTATTTACTGTTATGGTTCACAGATTTTACTGAGAGATTCTGTATTTGTGTGTTCAAATACATTTGGCTGTTCCCACTGATATTCTCGTTCACTACGTTACTATACAATATAATAGACTATGAATAATGTTATCAAATTTTAACTAATGTTGTGTATTATTATATCCTCTTCACCTATTTTTACCCTACCCCCCCCCACAATTTCGCTTTGTTGATTTATGTTTAATTTTTTTGTTTTGTTTTTCCCGTTATGATCATTATTATCATTATCACCACCATTTACATTAGAATTAGCTAGAGAAAGCTGTCTTCAAGAGTTTCGTTGGGATTCTGGATCAAAAAGTACTGAATGGCCATGGAAAGAACATTTACCATCTGATAGTATTGTAAGTTATGATATTTTTTCATTGAATTAATTATTACCTTTTCTGTATTGATGATTATAGAACTATGAAGTGATTAAATCCTTAAACTACAGCTAAGACATTTAATGAATGATTGATGTGAAGATAAAGATAGAGGTAATAAAAAATAAAAGGGGATAAGATGTTTATAATATTCAGTTTACGTATCCGGTGATCTAGTCGTAGGCCAAGGTAAACATAGAGGCTGGATATACTTTTTCTGGATACATAAGTTTGGTTTTCTGTAGTTGATCCAGATGGCTTCGGCTATGTAGAGCAATCGTAATCTAGCTCCTTGAGATAGATGTTTTGAAACTTGATATAAAACAGAGAAAGCTTCCTTTATTTTGATATGATGGTCACTATCTACCAAGTGTGGAGGAATGGTGCTGTTAAGCGATTCAGTAACTCCTTTTCTCAAACATGCTGGTACATGTTGACGAACACACAGCGATAAAGCCCTCCGAGTACGGCCCATGTAACTAGCTCCACAGGAGCAGTTGAATTGGTATACACACATGGAAGAGACCATCTTTGGTAACCTATCCTTGATTAGTTGTGTGAGTACTCGTTTAGTTGAGAAAATTATGTGTAGCTTGGCGGCGTGAGACGTCTTTTCGACAGATCTTTTTAGTCGACGTGTTAAAATATCACCCGCTATATCCTCTTTAAAGTCTAATCTCAAATATAGTGTTTTTTTACTGACTGTCACAATTTCTTCTATTTTTTAACGAAATTATCTGGATAGCCATTATTTCGTAATGTGTTCTTTAGTATATCTATTTCGTCATCCACACTGTCTTCAGAACATAATAACTTGATTCTGTGGTTGAGACATTTAACCAAATTTATTTTATATTGAAGTAGTGTAAAGCTTTGAAAATGGGGTATACTGACCCGCTTATTTACTCTTTCTAAATATATTTCGCTTTATGGAACCGTCTATCCTTCTAGAAAGTAGGACATCCAGAAAAGCTATACTATTGTCTTTCTCCTCCTCGCTAGTGAATTTAATGACTGAGTGGATGTTATTGAAAGAGTCCAACATTGTCAAATTCATTAATACATGCCTTATTTTTAGCCTTTGTAAAATATTATAATTACGGACTTATAACTTCAGAGCCTGATGATGAAATTATTGAAAACAACTGTTCACTCAAATATTCTTCATTTTTGAATATATTCTATGGGGATTTTTAAACTATTATAGAAGATTTTAGGTTAGTTGATGGTGATGAATACAGTGGTCTTGAGTGCTGTTAGAGGTAAAAGGTTGGAAGAAAGTTGGGGGTGGTCAAACCAAAACGTGGCATCAGTGCTTGAAGTCACTAACTTCTAGTCTGAGACATGTTGTTAGATGCAGACTACTTGGTTGGGGTCCGCGTGACTATCGTAACCAATGGTTGGAGACTCTGGGCGACATGGCTCAGAATAGATCACAATAGTGTTTGTGTATACACTCTCTGTCTTCCGTTAAATTAAGAGATTAAAATCGATTCATATCTTTCTTTTTACGAACTAATTCTTTCTTCCTGTACTATATCCTTATTGCAATCTTTCTTTTATATATTACCACCTCTGAATTAACTACTTTTATGAATCCGGTGTCCATCTTGTTGTGTTAATGAGGTATGGCAACTTCGACCGATGCATATATGTACCTGGTCCTACGTTGTAGCTGACTGACTGACTGATTCTGATAGCACACAGATCTTGAATTTTATCATTTTTTCATTGGTAATATTGTAGTCTCTAAGCTAGATGGCATAGTTCTTCAGCTTTTGTTGTTCTTCTGAATAAAATCATTCAAAGAGAAGTAAACCATTGGGAATTCTTCAGAATCAGCTAACAGTTTGTTCTGTTTTGATTAGTTTTTGTTGTTCAGATGAACAATGAATGCTTCACAACTATGCGCTTCATTTCAAGGACTACAACATCTTCATCCAAAATTCTAAATATTCTCCTTCATCTTGATACGCACTTCCCTCAAGATTACAGGTAAACACCTTGCTGACGAGTGCCAAATAGCACAAAACTCGGGCCCAGGGTTTCTTGTTGACTACCTCCAACCACCATCTTATCTCAACATAGTGCATGCAATGTCGAGCCGTCTATACTAATGGTCATATTGCAACTTGGTCGACAAGATTCGATGTGCAGTAAGAAGGCTCTAACACATGACATTAATCACCACCCAGTGATCAATCAATTGTGAATAGTTTTACTACCTCTACCACTATGGGATTCGAATCGACAAATGTATCTCTGAGCTAATGTGGTACGGAAACTTGAACTGATGTACGTACGTTGTTGTTGACCGACGATACGTTCTGTTCTTACTATTCGTTCGTTTCTTTTGTATTATATTTCTTTTATTACATTCCCCCCCACATTTACGTTTTTTCTCTTCAGATTCTGTTACATTTGTTTGCTACTTATATGGATACACGTATGCCACCTCATCCCAAATGTTTATCTGGTCGTGTGTTTAGTCAATTGAATGTTGTTCGACTTCCAGATAAGCCTGGTTAGTTGACTCATGTGCATGCATTTTTACGGTTGGATTCTTTTATATTCTGTTTCAGTGCCTAAACTGTAATTAATACTATTAATTATAGTAGTGGTAGTAGTAGAGATAAGTATTAGTAGGAACACATAGAAAGACATTTAGTACATGCTGTTTGTAAACGTAACAGTAGAATTGCATGATCTTTAAGACATTATTCAGAAGATCTTGATAAACTCATGGAAATTAGTTCGATACAGTTATCGTCGATAAAGAAGGAGGATCGGAAGCAGTCGTAAAGGTGAGGATCAGCAAAACAAGGACCACATTTTTACAATTGAAGAACATATGGAACTCAAAACAACTATCAACCAATATCAAAGTCTGAATCTTCAATATAAACGTCAACACAATTAATTCTACTGTGTGTAGCTGAAACGTGGAAAACTACTACAACCATCATCAAGAAGGTACAAGTATTTATAAATAGTTGTCTACGCAAGATACTCAATGTCCGTTAGCCGGATATCATCAGCAACAACCTTCTGTAGGAGAGAACCAGCTTCCAACTGAAGAGGAAATTAGGGAAAGACGATGGAAATGGATAGGGCATACTGTACGCAAATCATCAAACTGCATCACGAGGCCAGCCTTAACTTGGAATCCTGAATGGAAGTGGAAAGGAGGAAGGCCGAAGAACACACTACATTGGGAAATGGAAACAGATATAAAAGGATGAATAGTAACTGGAAAGGATTGCCCAGAACAGAGTTGGATAGCGAATGCTGGTGGGTGACCTATGCTCCTCCACGAAGGTTAAGTAAGTAATTCTTGTTATATACTGACTGCCTGAATTTTCTACTCAATTTTAATGCCAACAAATAATCTACCATACAACATCCATTAACAAGACACCGAAGTCTGTTTTCGGAATTACAGGATTTATAACATTTTTCAAATCCTTCATGTATTAAAAATACATTGCTAGGTTGCAATATTACGTATTCGGTATTATCAATAGATGTAAGCGATTCCTCAGTGACAATGATATCCAAACAGTGGAAATTGTTCAACACCCTCAACCTGAGAAGTATGTTAAAAGTTATCGACATTACAAGTGCAACTGTCAACAAACTTATACCGTGGTATTTATTATATACTGTAAGTTAGGACTATGGATTAGCGGTTAAATCAATAAATTAACCCTCACACAACTAAATTGTAGTTCAAAGCTAACTTCTTCTAAAGTAACGTAGGACAGTCATTTCATTCTCAGGTGACAACTACATATGTAAGAGATCGTATTTGTTTAAACACATAAACGTCAGTACAAGGAGGCATCAAATAGATATGCATCACATAAATTATTCGATTCGCGTCAGGACTTGGATACTGCCCGCTTCACAGGGGTCCACTCCCCGAACATTTGACCTACACGTCTAATCCATAAGGTAGTAGAACAACGATAGGTCCATTCGTTCCATCAGGATCCTGGAGCCCATGTGCACTATTTGGTTTTTAATGACGGTTTCCAACTCCTATATGTGGAACCTCCATATCCACTAACCCAGTTAAAAAGCCGGATATTCACTTTTCGTCCTATCGATTTAGTAAACAACAGTAAGCCGCAAGAAGGCACTAGACAGGACTTCCCTATCAGTGGTTGTACGTACGTGGCGATGTCAGAGCATTTCAAGAAAGAGAGTTGACTCTCCCCCTTCTCGACCGTATCAGGGCCTTTGCGTGGGAGGGATTGTAAAGTTTAAGTGTAATTGTTACAGATCTTACTGATCTACCTCATCTTGTTGTGTTAATGAGGTATGGCAACTTGAACCGATGCATATATGTGCCTGATCCTACGTTGTAGTTAACTGATAGACTACTGATCTAAGTATAGAATGATTCTTTTATAACCTATTTGTTTACCTTAATATTTGTGTGTTTCTTTCTCTTTCACTTTTCATCTACTTATAGATTTGAAAAGCAAACATAATTGTCAATTTTATCAAGTTGCTGTACAACCACCTCAATTTAAATTAGTATTAAATGGAAGAATCTACAATTTTGTATCCGTAATTAACTTTTTTTTTAAAAATTCATAATCTTATTTTATATATAGGGTCAAAAAAATATCTATCATGCTATTTTATTATTCTTTCATTATTATGTAACAAGGAATGAAAAGTTCAGGTAAGTCTATTGTATTATAATACAAATTATATTGGTAATTTGGTTATAAAAAAAATACATGTTTAAACGATTCAATTAAGTATATTGAATAGATTACATGATACAAAGGGGTATCTTGATCGTTGTTGACGTGGTGGTGATCGGGCTTGCCTATCGTCATGAAGCAACTAACTAAAGGCAACAAACCCAAGGTCCGAAGGCGAAGTTGTACTGCTGACTGTACAGAGCTGTGACAGCAGTAAAGTGTTTCCTTCAGGCAACCAGCATGACAGCGATCCTACCTTCCCACAAGGAGGAGTGGGTTTAGAAAAGGTCAACCCTAAAAATGCACACCTCGATCTCCGGCGCTAAGGTCTCGACAAGTACGGAGCTAGCGCAAAATTTACCCATAAGAAGGTCATGTGTGACCGACCTCAAGCAGTTGTCCCTTGGGCATTGCGGTCAATAAGACCACCTCTAATCCAATTTCCTTTTTAGGTACCTCCAGAAGAACCCTTCCAAGGTGTGGGCAACCAGGGAGTGATAACCACCCTCATACCTCTAACAGCACTCAAGACCAATGACTGGCTGATAAAAGGGTACGGAATACACTATGTGCTACATAAGTCATTTGATTTATGTTATGGGCTTTTATACTACTCGCTTGCCCAAACCGAAGCAGGTGGTCTTCTTAAAGTGCCACACTTAGAGGACTAATCCACAAGAAACGTTATGAGATTCAGTCCCTTGGTAACCGGTGACCAACTATATTGGTTGATATGTCATTCGTTCTATCAGGAACCTGCAATTCATTGGTTTATAATTAAGGTTTTCTAACTCCTCTAGATAGATCCTCCATATTCACCAACCCGATTAAAGCAGTGGACATTCACTTTTCATCCTCTCAATTTCGTAAACTATACCCCTGTCGCGTGAAGGCAGTAAGTAGAACTTCCCTGTCAGTGGCTGTATACTCGTGGTTATGTGAGAGCATTTCTAGAGGCAGAGGTGACTTTCACCACACTCGATTGTACCAGGTTACCATACCATTTACTTGTCGTGGTAATTATTGATTATAAATAGTATAATTCCTTGTTAGTTGGTGAGTACTAATGAGCAACAACTCGAGTTCTATATCTTATTGTCTGTTAACTCCCCATCATAGCTGCCAGTTTAACGTGGTGGTCAGGTTTACATAACACAATTAAGCTTTATTGTATGTAACACATTCGTTAAGATCAGACCATACGATATCAGTTGGTTGGGGAGCAGCAAACTTGAGATCCGTGAGCAAAGTTATATTTCCAAAAGCATTGAGGCCTGATTGTCGTAAGATATTTCCCTCGGACAATCAGCATCTACACTTCTTGTTGCCTTCTTACAACAGAAATAGGATGTCAGATATGATCACTCCTGGAAATAATTCCTCGGATTTCTATCCATGGTGACAAGGCCTAAAAAGTACAGAGCTAAAAACTACTAGTTCACAATGAGCTGATAGGATTTATGGTAGTTAATTGATGGAATATTCAAGACCTAGATTTCGTGCTAATTAAGACTTGCAAATAGTCAATCAGTAACAACGTAGAACTTCGTACGTACGTACATCAGTTCGAGTTGCCACACCACATTAGTACAGAGATGCTGTGGTCGATTCAAATCCCTTAGTTGTAGAGGTAGTAAGAGTATAAGCAGTAATGGGAAAGATTAGTGTTTGGAGATGTTACTTAAAGAGTATAATACAGTGAAATAAATTTGGGAGGAGAAAAAAAGAGACAAGGAGGAATAAGGAGACCAAAATTTGGGAGAACACAAAGAGTGGATGCACCTGCGCCATTGCAAACGATTTTGAGCCATGTCATTCAGGGTCTCTAACCATCGGTTGCTATCATCTCGCGGTCCCCAACCAGGTAGTCTACACCTACCGACATGACTCAGACCACTTGTCAGTGACTTCATGGACTTGTGCCATATTTTGGTCTGGCCGCCCCTATCTTTCTTCCAACCTACTCCTATACCACTGAACGTAGCACGTCGAGGTAGTCGGTGGTTGGGCATACGTCCCAGCCATCTCAACTGATGAAGTTTCACCACTTCATCAATTGATTTGCCATCCTTACCTAGTACTCGCTTCCTAACAATTGTATTACTTACTCGATGGTCCCAAGATATACGAGCAATGTTTCGAAGACACCTATGATCGAATAGTACAAATATCCTCTACTCTTACTTGCCATGTTTCACTGCCATAAAGTAGGACAGAACGAACTGCTGCACAGTAAACCCATCCATTGTTTGATATCTCGCTTACATCATCCCGTACCCAAATATTAAAAGAATCAATATTCCTCTTTCAATTTGTACATGAATTAACCAGATTCACAGTCTAAATGTTGTTTTTTTTCTTATCTCTATTTAAATAGATCTGTTTCACTTGGTCCATCAGGTTTAAATGTTGCATGGATATTTTCTAAAAATTGATTATAAATTATCAAAATGTAAAAAGAAAAGAAGATAATTACTCTATCATGTATATGTATTCCTTTGTTTAGTTATTGATGTTTCATGTTTATTTTTGTATTTAAAAAAGAAAAAATAAATTTAGAGTTTATGTTGAATTCAACGAGCTTCTTCTTTGTTTTTCTTGTACATCAGTAAATGCGCACTGCTGAGGAGTCCCATAATAGGACGAAACGGTAGTCCAGTGCTTCTAGATTTTCAATGGTGGTTTAACATTAATCGGTTCATGATCTCAATGTGTAAACAATCTATAAACATACTTTTCTAGGGAACTGAAGAATGATCTATAGACTAGATATACTTTTATAACACAATTTATACAATTGTTATACCTATCACATCTGTTGAACAAAAAGTGATCAATTTCATCAACGATGATGATATTCACTTGTTGAATATACTCATTACAGCTTGTAACAATGGCCTTGTTTTGTGTGTAAATTATCAATGACTATGCACACATTGATGATCCCGCAAGAGTAGCATTTCATCATTGTGAGTTGAAGATATGTTGGATCGTCAGATAATCTATACGATGTCCTCCGAGTCGCAAAACATGTAAGATAAGATCTAAGACCAGATAGACTATAATAAACGGATTAACCAACTGGATAATATCACTCATTCTCCAGGAGTGTTCTTTTATTTGTTTAAACATAGATATTAGTATGAAGAGGCGCCGAATACATATGCGCCACGCAAGTCACTTGATTTGCGTGTGGGCTGTGACACTTCCCGAGTGCCGAAGCACGTGATTTTCTTAGGTGGCCACACCCGGAGTATTTCACCAAAACGTCTAATCCACAAGACACTGGCGAAACCTCAGGAGATGCAGTCCCATAGTAGCCGGTGACTAACAATAGGTTCATACGCCATTCGTCACTTCAATATACTGGAGCCCATGTGAACCATTGGTTTGGAATCAGGGTTTCTCAACTCCCCCAGAGTAGATCCCCCGTCTCCACCAACCGGGTTAGAGAGCCGGACATTCACTTTTGGTCCTTACAATTTCGTAAAGAACATCCCCACCGCAAGAAGGCAGTGACTGTATACGCGTGGCCATTCGAAAGCGACAGTGAACTATCCTCACTCTCGGTCGTACCAGGTCATTCGGTGGAGAGGGCAGGAACATTCTAATAACGCATAATTTCCCCTTTGTTTTGGTTAGATTAGTCACAAATATGGGCAAGAGTTATTGTATAGTCCCAATAACAAATAAGGAAATCATATACTACAGAAAGGAAATATATATATATTTCTTTAGCCCATAACATTTGATGAAATAAAAATTCCAATTAAAATGCTTCGAAATAAAAACTGAAAAAATCAATAATAGTAATATGATGATAATAATGATGACCCTAGTTAGCCCAACATACACACAAAGAGAGGGAAATAGAAAAAAAAACGAGAGGGGAGGAAGGACCGTTGACAACAAAATATTGGATAGAAATATGATTAGTGAATTAAAAGAAAAAACGGTTAACAAGGTTGTTGTTTCATTTTTGATTTACAAATATAAATAAGAAATGTCTGGATTATGCGTTATGAAATGTTTTTATTGTGAATAACAGGATAAGCATTCAACAAAATGCGGAATAAAATAGAGATAACTCTTGACTATTACTAATATATTGTAATAAAGTAGACAAATGAGGAAAAAAGACAAACAAATCATAGAACAATGAAGTACTACTACTAATAATGATAATAGTAGTACATAGTGTCTTTATATTCATTGAAAAAATGTCATCTATGTAGATAATCCTTATTTTCATATTATGACATGAATATATATGAATAGAATAGTTCATATTCATTCATTTAATGGACATGATGGTAAATGAACTGTACCGAAATAATTCAATTCATATAAACTACAGAATACAAGTACAATGATATAACCAATAAGTAATGCATAACCATAAATTTTAGTTAAACGCCAACGATTAATATGTGTTGCAACTAGAAGATAAATGACTGTTGTGAATAAAGTCAATGTTGAATATAATAAACCTATAATGACAATGTAAAGAAAACAAAAAGAAATAGATGGTATTAAAATTTATGTCATCGTATACAGAGGGTTTAAGAGAAGTATTGAATTTTATAGTATATTTCACGAACTGACATAGGTTTTTTTATATTTTAACACATAGATATTGGTACAAGGAGGCACCAAATACATATGTGTCACAAAAATCTTATTTGATATGTGTGAAGAATGTGATACTCCCAGGGTAACCAAAAGGAGACAGATGGTTTTCTTAGGGAGCCACACTCGGAGCCTTCGACCTAAAGGTCTGATCCACAAGACAGTGGAGCAACATCAGGAGATGCAGTCCCATGGTAACCGGTGATCAATAATTGGTTCATACGCCATTTGTTCTTACAGGATACTGTAGCCCATGTGTACCATTGATTTGGAATGAAGGTTTTCCAACTCCCCTAGGTGGAGTCTCCGTGTCCACTAACCCGGTTAAAGTGCCGGACATTCGCTTTTGGTCCTCTCAATTTCGTAAACGACAGTAATGCCACGAGAAGGCAGTGAGTAGGACTTCCCTGACAGAGGCTATATACGCGTGGCCATGTGAGAACATTTCGAGAAGTAGACCGGACTTCCCACTCTCGGACGTACCAGGGCATTCGGGGGCGATAAATAACCAACAAGTACTTAACACTTGTTTTGTTCTAGTATGGAACTTCCTTGGATTAATTAGCAATACTAATAACAATCAAGTCATTCCTAGTGACTAAATTCAAGGTCGAGAGTGGGGGGAGTCATTACTTCCTCTAGAAGTGCTCTCATATAGCTACGCACATACAGCCATTGCCAGGGAAATCTTACTGCGAATGTCTGTCGATGTAACCGGGATTGGTGGAGATAAAGGATCCACTTAGGGCATTTGGAAAATACTGATTCTAAACCAACGATGCACATAGGCTCCACGGTCAACAAAAACCGTATTGAACCAATTATTGTTAATCGGCTACCATGCAACCGAATCTCTTAACATTGCTCCGAAGCCTTATGGATTAGACCTTTAGATCAAAGGCACCGGATGTGACCCCCTAAGAAAACCACCTGCTTCGATCTAGATACCCGAGCAGTACCACAGCCCATATATGAATCAAGTAATTTGTGTGGCACATATGTATTCAGTGCTTGTTCGTACCAACATTTATGTGTTCAAACAAATAAATAAATAAAATTCACGAGGTAATTAGTTAAAGAGTTCAACCGTGTTGGGTTTATTTCGATGAATTTCAACTTTTATCAATGTGATCAGGTTGGTTCGTTTGTTTTTTTACATTTGATAATGGTTACATTCAATCGGTCATGAACTTTGATAAACTAATTTGCAACATTAATATCAAGTGAAAAGTTGAAGATTAGTAGTCGTTGAAAATCAAGATCATTAATTAATTCGTCATTCGATTAGTGTGAAGGCTGGAATACTGCCCGTGTGCCCAGTAAGAAGCAGGTGGTTTTCTTAGGATGGGGCACACCCGGAGCCTCTTGTCCTAAAGGTCTAATAGACAAGGTAGTGGAGCGACGTTAAGAGATGCAGTCACATGGTAACCAGTGACCAACAATAGGTTCATACGCTCTTTGTTCCCTCTGAACCCTGTAACCCATGTGTACTGGTTTGGAATGAGGGTTTTCCAACTCCCTTAGATGGATACTCCATATCCACCGAACACTCGCTTTTGGTCCTCACAATTTCGTAAACAACAGTCATGCGGCGAGAACACAGTGAGTAGGACTTCTCCAGCAGTGGCTGTATGCATATGGTCATGTGAGAGCATTTCGACGCCCAATTCAAAAAACATATTCTGATCAATAAAATCCATAAACCGACTAAAGGTGTTGATAACAACTCTTTATTCTCATTGTTTATGAACTTCATCAATGATACGACACTGCATTTGAATATCAGGAACATTTCGAGATTAGAATGTTAATTCATGAGAATCATTTAAGAAATTCTCAACTAAAACAGTTGCTACTCAATTAATAATAACAATTTACTGTGTACATATTAAAATTACATTATAGTAAGGAAACAACTAACCTCTAGAATAGATGACGATTGGCGCTTGAGAAATGATTGATTTAATTAACCACGGTAAACCCATACAAATTAATATGTCAAATACATTACTACCTACTGCATTTGATACGGCCATATCACCTTCACCTATACAAAAATGTAAACACATTGATATTATCTTGATGTTGTATTAATCATGAAATGTAGTTGAAGATTAGAAAGGTAACTAGGTCATGACTTGGAGCTAAAATGATCTGTGTAAAGGGTTTACTTACTTATGCGTGTTACTCCTCGTTGATGAGCATAAACTGCCCACCAACACTCGCCATCCAACTCTGTCCTGGGAAATCCTTTCTTTCCAGATCTTACTAGTTGTTATTCATCCTTTTCATATCTACTATTTCCCGACGTAATATGTTCTTTGACCTTCCTCCTTTCCACTTCCATTCAGGATTCCAAGTTAGGGCTGGCCTCGTGATGCAGTTTGATGATTTGCGTACAGTATGCCCTATCCATTTCCATCGTCTTTCCCTAATTTCCTCTTCAGTTGGAAGCTGGTTCTCTCCCACAGAAGGCTGTTGCTGATGATATCCGGCTAACGGACATTGAGTATTTTGCGTAGACAACTATCAATAAATACTTGTACCTTTTTGATGATGGATGTAGTCGTTCTCCAAGATTCAGCTCCGTATAGTAGAACTGTGCTGACGTTCGTATTGAAGATTCTGACTTTGTCAAGGGCTAGCGACACTAAAATATCTGATCATTTGATTAGTGATAATCAACGTAGGGTCTGGCTAACCTGTATTAAACCAATTCACCATGCCACATTAGCACGACAAGATAAATACTGAACAAGTAGAAATTATGTAGTAGCAATAATAATAAGAAAGACTAGGAATCAAGAATATGGTTAGGAAAGAAGGAATGAAAAGGTATGTATGAAGGGATACTGGACCTCAAGATAAAAGGTAAATGGATTTATGTCATTATGATCAATTCGGAGTCATTTTGCTCAAGATTCCTGATCATTGATCACGATAATCAA